TATATATAAAAAGTAGAGGATGCTAGTATTATAAACCAGATTATTTCATTGGATGCATTTACATTATATGTGTATTAAGCTAGTTATATATAAAAAGTAGAGGATGCTAGTATTATAAACCAGATTATTTCATTGGATGCATTTACAATTTGAATGTACTCGTATCTTAAATATTGTAAGGGATGATGTCCCACTGTTAGAAATGAAACGTTGTACAGAGATAAATTTATTATCCTCTAAAATAGTTTTCAAAACTTCATATTATTCGTAAATTAAGGGGAGGTATCTCTGAATACGTTCGCGCTTTCAGCTGTAGACGTATTACAAAAACGAAAGCCAACTCTGTTCTTCCGTCCAAAGAACTGGACAGAGAGCCCTTGTGGCCGTCAATGTTGATGGTTGTCTGTTTTCACTTTGGTCAGTGGCTGAATTCTGGGTGTTTCTTTACTGACCTTTAAGGCTACTTACGTGAATGGCATCATTCACTTTGAAAATTCCAATTCAACCGATATTGTTTTTTCTTTATGCGCTGTGTCCACCTTGGGGAACCGAACCGGTTCTGTTCTGTAATTTTATCGTTGATCCGCCAGAGGACATCGCGGCTGTTAGAAGATAAATAATAAATCCAGTGGGGGGGAAAAAAAGAGATAAAATTAGCATAACAGAAAGTGACAAATAATCGATTCAAATAAAGGAACTTCATCAACTATCTCTAACCTCGTTATTATATACTTTATAAATTTAGATTTCAACTGGCAGTCCTAGCTGAAACTTTTTATTATGATATGAAATTTTAAAACCTTTTCTCGGTAGATCTTCGTGAAAAATATAATAATTTCTCCAGTATAGATGAAGATTTCCTAATTGTTATAGTATTTTCTAAAAGTATTATTCTGTTACCACCAGTGTTGAGGTCACTGTTTACCATCTGTTGGTCAAGGATCTGGAGTAGACGCGGATGACCAGACGCTCTCAAATAATCACGAGAAATGAGCAAGGGAATAAAGAAAACTAAAGGCGGAATCCGGAAAATAATCACTGGAGTCGTTTTATATGATCTAGTGACAAACCAGGAGAGACAGGGGGAAGATATCTCTGTAATCAGGCAACTGCTATTGCGGTTGTGGTCTAATCAAACGAAGAAACTCTATCGTTATTTTTGATTTCATTCAGATTTGATATCTTGAAAGCCAAGAAGGAAACTTTAACTTCTTTTCTTCCATTGTTTTGTGAAAGTGGCTCTTCATATAATCTTTTCGATTTTAGTGGGTCTGTTTTACTAATACACTTTAGATTATGTAAAAATTTTAACGTATATTTTGCGTGTTTACTGCTCACTTTTTGTTCGTTCACTTGTTTGTTGTAAGGACAAAAAAAAAAAAAACACAACAAAAATGCCCTTAAATTTGGCTTCTTTCGTTTTGAATTTTGCCAAAGCCACTCGAAAGTTATCTGCGCTAGTCGTCCCTAATTCAGTAGAGATAAACTAGAGGAAAGGCAACTAGTCAATACCCCCAACTCTTGAGTTACCGTTTTACCAATGAATAGTAGGATTGACCGTCACATTATAACACCCCACTGCTGAAAGGGCGAACATGTTTGGTGACTGGGACTCGAACCCAAGACTCGCAGGTTGCAAATCGAGCACCCTAGCCACCAGACCATGCCAGGCCCCATGCTGTACGCACTATAGGTATCGAACCCTGACTTTTAGCATTAATCCCCCAAATTTATCGCCTAAAGATTTTACTGAGAATTCATAAATATAAAAATTTCAGTAAAACTGAAAACTGGAGTATTTAAGAAGGTTCAAGAATGGGCATTTTATAACATTTTATACATTTTTTATTCCATTTCACAGAAATGAAATAGCTTTTTTTCTTGTCTCTCTTGCTGTTAATACAGCGACATCCTTTTGTAATGTTAACAATAAAACGAATCGCTGGTATATCTGAATATGAGTTACAACTGTTAGAATGTGAAGATATCTAACTATTTTCACTAACTTATCCACCTTATTTTATAAGTGGAAACAACTTAAATTCTTTATAAAAACTGTTTTTTTAACCAATTTTCTGACATGCACCTTATTCAGAGAGAAGCGTAAGCCCAACGTTGGTTAAATAAACCTTTTATTTTCTTTAGAGGGTAAGTCGCGTAAACGTACGAGTTCTTTACTCCAATATTCATTACTGCATAAGACGTATGCTTGTAACAGATGTTAACATTATCAAATGAAGTTCAACAAGTTAGACATTTTTTTTAGCCGCGGCATAATGGTTCATAGAATGGCCCCAAGGTTTTTCAAATACAAACTTTTATCTCATAGTTTCATCATTTGAGATCTAATTACAATTTTGGACACAGGAGGTCAAAGTCTTTGGATTGATGTATTTAACCATGTCCAAGATCTCATAGATTAATTTACTCTAACCCTGCCTGAAATAATTTCAATTTGAGGATAGGCTGGTAGAGATCCGGATGAGTAATCGAATCGGGTATACCCGCGTCCCACATTTGGTATTGCTGATGCACAAAATTATAGTTAATAAAAAGAAAAAAAATTAAAGGTCTCATAGATCAATTTACTCTAATCCTGCCTAAAAGAGTTTCAAGTACCGTGGCTATTGAGGATTCTCTCTTGTTTAACTTTAGAATATTTACGTATTAATGTATACAACTAAACTAAATCATTGTTTTTTGGTTTATTTACAAGTGGTTTGCAGAGCTACACAAGGGCTATCTGCATGTAGCCATCCCTGATTTTGAAATAATAGACTAGAAGGAAGGTAATTAGTCGACAGTACCCACCGCTATGCTTCAACTACTCTTTGTGATCGAATAGTAGGATTTGACTGTCACTTTTATAACAACAGGACGCGATCTATGAACTCGGTTTCATAACCGGTGCACGCTAATCGCTAGGCTACGCCCGTCCATAAAAACGTCTAAATATCTGAATAATTATCTACAGTTAACATTCACTTGAAAAGAATTTTAAGAAATATAACACAATTTATATTACTTACTTCATAATACTGTTCCATAGAACAAGCAAGAAAAGAAGACTCTAACCGTACTTGTTTTGTTTTGAGGTTTCTGGGATTCATGTTTTTGTGTTCAGGGATTTATTACAATCTAATCTGTTTAACTAACACGCAGGTGATCAATAAAAATCGAAAGTCGTATGTTTCAAAAAAGCAACACCAGGGTTAAACTGCTTTGATTATTTACTGTACGTAACTTCACTTATACTTTGATGTATGTGGAATGTCTAATACTTAAATGTCTCAAAGATAGCATAATATAATTAGTTTACTAAATATCCAGTTTAATTATATAAAATAAAACGATTCCACGCACAGTTTGAAATCTTGATAGGGAACTAAACGTTTGAAATCACAAAGTCAGACATTACTTTTACAAATTCCAGATAACTCAGTCTCATCATGGTCGTATGTTTTGGCTGTCGATGGATGCATATCTTTATTTATCTTGTGATTGGTGGCCTGGTTGTGACGCAGTCTAGAGAGACTCAGTCGGACAATGGTCAAGGTAAGTTAATCACTTATCATGAATTAAGTATAACTTCTGTACAATTTATATTGATCATACGAACAAAATCAAAGAAATATCAATATATCTATTTGTTATTTCCATTTTTTCAGGGTTTAATTGTTATTCTTGCTTATCATTATTTTTAGTTTTTTATTTTGTAATTTCAAAATATAAAGAATACAAAATTCAAAAGCAATAGTACTCTAAATAATGGAATAAAGTTGGATTCAGTTATAGAATTATCATTTTTACTTAAGTGGTTTTTGCTTATTATCTGAAAACGTTATTGTTTCTGGACTTGAAAATGAAGAAAATGAAAGTGATGAGACAAAAGAGCTTAGTAAACACGATCAAAAGGGTTTCATCTTTATTAGTCCTAACCTCATCTCTACGACAAAGTTGACCTTGCTAAGATCATGAATAATCCTAGCTACGTGATCTGTAAATGAACAAAATGTTAGCTGTGTGGAGGTTTGAGTAGATGGAAGTGTACACTTTACCTTATAGTATTGTGTTGACTCTTGCTTCATCACCAGCAACAAGTGTGTATTTGTTTATGTGGGCGTGAGGAAACAACCTTCACTGCTTCACTACCATTACTGTTGTGGAAATATTACATAATCGCGAGCCAGCTGAAGCTTTGATGGTTCAAGGCTCGATCTACGATATGCCACTCAACAGGAACCGCACTTTCAACTATGATGACGTTCTTATAATGACAATCAATACTTCTATTCGATTAAAAGTAGTCATGCACTCTTCTAGGTTACCAGTAATTAAATAAGAAACGGTTAGGCCTGAATTCCTTAGTCTCTGGCCTGGCCACTAAGCCTATATGATCGACAAGGTGCCGATTAAAAAAAAACGTTTTGAATTAACTTTCTATTCCTTTTTGTTTATTTTGTTTAGGTATATTATTTGATTCAAGCAGCGACAGCCTTTATTCAACTATATACACTCTCGAACCCTTTCATCGTATTTTGAGACATCTACGTCCGGGCTACGGAGTAGATATGTCATCGTTTCTGTACAGATTTCCTGGAAATGGCGTCAAGAGAGAAAACCTTAAAAAATTATCAAATCGTGACTTTGTGATGGGATCTGAATTTTTAGGTAAAAGATCAATTTCTAATGAAGCCAACAATGTAATGGATTCCGAAGTTGTAGACAAAAAGATGGGTTCCGAATTTGTAGACAAAAAGATGGGTTCCGAATTTCTGGGTAAGCGAATGGGTTCCGAATTTCTGGGTAAACGTTTGGATGACATAGAAGATAAGATTAGAAATTACTTGTTTCCAAAACGTCAAAACAAGCGGATAGGATCAGAATTCCTGGGCAAACGTTTGGACATTTTTGAGAATGATACTACTGGCTTAGGCTTAACGTCCGATCATCAAAGCCAGCGTGGAGGACAGGAATTATTGGGCAAGAGAATGGGCTCTAACTTTTTGGGCAAAAGGATGGGATCGGAATTTCTTGGCAGAAGAAAGCGAGAAATACATCAAAAGATGTCAAGTCCAAAATCAACGCCAGAGGACTCTGTACCAATATAGGGTAAGTAAGTTTTGAAGTATATATATCTGATAAAGACGCATAAAAATATTTTGAAAAAATCACATTTAAAGACATTTAATGCATTTAAATTTCACTAATCCAAATTTAATGTAATTAAATATGTCTAATAATTAATATGGAATAATCATAAATTCGAGCCTTTTTTGTGTGTAGGTAGTCATTGAATGGATAATAACTAATTCTGTTTTAATTCCAAGGTTCTTTTTCGTGATATGCACTGACCCCTGTGTTTTAAAATGATCTAATACAACAAATAAGTTGTCTTGTCTAAGAAAGGATATCAAGCAATCAATTCACTAGGAATTTTTTAGATGCTTTTTAGGCTTAGTGAAACAAAGTAATATATGATGACGTAGAATAGCCGAAGATGAAAATATTGTAATATATAAAGAAATGCACTATTTATCAAAGCCTATTCTTTCTATCAATTGTTTTCTTAGTTTTACTCCTCCGTCTCCGCTTCGAATGAAACCAAGATCCTCTCCAATTTACAAGTGAGTCTTAATTTCAGTCTGTGGCTTATCAATTTTGTTCTTTATGTGCTGTAACGCACTTTAAAAACTTTAACTTCAAAATGAGAACAAATGAGACAAACGTGTAACGAGATTTGTGCTACCTTGAGGTTATTTCCATTTGTTCTAGTATAATATTTTAAATGATAGATGTGTACATATACTGTCAATCTAAAATAAGCTATTTTAAAAAAGCTGAGAATAACAGTGACTAAGGAGAACAATGTTTCATCTCATGTCTCTATAAAGAACGTTAGCTAATGAATTATTTACATCGCTTAAGAAAACAAAACGCTAGTCTAAGCATTGGAGTCAAAAGTCTATATACAAAAGAACTTACTGTTGTGTAAAATGCTGTGTTTGTTTTCTTGGATTGATCAATAAAGAGTGCCTATTTAACTTAGCTGTTTATATTGAGATTTCCAAAACACCACTCCTTCCAGTATTAAATTATTGAAGATCGTATCAAGATAAATGTATTAATCTTTTCTCTCGCATAAAAACGTACAAGTATCGTACTGTGACAATTTATGTTTTACGTATGTTTTATTTATGTTTTATGGTGTCTTACCCTTCAAATGTTTTCCTTACATACTAACGGCAATAGATCGTCCCAATTACGTAACGTTTGTCGGAAACTAAAAACGTATTCGAAGAAACCTATTTTACCAGGAATTGTTATCCACATAACTAAAATAATAAAAAAAAACTTCTGATAACTGCCCTTTACCCTCATGGGTCAGCGATACCTTTAGGTCTTATATTTGTATAATCCCCAGGATTCAGTTTGTCCCGGTGGACAGAGCGTTGCACTGAAAGTAAAAGAAAAACAAAACTGATAAGTGGGCGAATTTGCCTTTATTCTTGTTCACAGGGCCTTTTAAAGTCGAAATACAGAACGTTTAATTGTAATTAGTTATAATATTAATAGAATTAAAATAGATGATATTAATTTTTTAACTTCTCGTAGCTTAAATAAAAAGAAACTTATAAACGTGCATTATTGTTTGTAAGCTTTACATGCTGTTTATCCTTTCAGAAATTTATACTGAAAATAACATTACGCATTTTATAACATAATATATAGTTGGTGGTTTAATGCCAGTTTTCTTTTGAATGTTAAACGAGTTTTATATCTATACATAAATGAATAATTCTAATACAATAAGATCCATTAATATGTATTCTGTTTTGTGAGTGATTTTTAAAACTGTTTTTTTTTTGTTTCTGGGCCCGAACTCTCTCTATATAAACTTACTTCAAAGAGAAATATAATATCGATATACAAGAAAACGTTTACTGTAGATGAGAAGAAATAAAATCTATAAGGTGTTTTTTGGGGTTATAAGCCTATAAACTTACCGCTGAGGCACTTGGGAGGGAGGTTAGGTGTGTGAGGACTCGTGAGAGTGTAGTGATTTTAAATCAGCTGAATTCTTCTTTACTTCTCAAACATTATGTTCAATCCTTGATACTTCACTTTTTAATATTATTTTTTTCTTTACTTTTCTGTTGTTTTTTTTCAGATCCAAGTGAACTTTTGTCCTACAGCTAATCCCAAATACTACTGAAAAAAAAAGATCGTTTTCAACACGGCGAAGTTCCCAGAAGAGTCAAGGAAGATAATATCCAGTTTTTTGTGAGGCCCCGAAAATGGATACTTATTTTTCTTGAGGCTCTGAAAAAATAACACATATTTTTTTATTTACTATTTAAATATTTAAAGGTGCAGGAAGCAGAAATACTACTAAATTTGCAAATAAAACTCCGAGTTGTTGTTTTTTTGTTCTTTCATTGATTAATACGAAAAAAAAAACAATTAAAGTTAGTCCATAAATGTTATATAGCAAAATTATAACATAAATAAAAGTAATCTTTTGAATTACCATAACATTTTTTTGAACAAGAAATTTCATGGGTTAACGACAAGTCCATACGTGTTCCAGAAAACGTCTGAAGAGCTTTGAATTAAATATGATTTTTATTGTTTTGTTTTGGATTTGTTAAATCAGATTAAGGATCAACTTTCAGTCAAAAATGAGGAGTGAATTTCTTTGTGCGTATTGAATTTCCTTTATAAATGTTTGTAATAAATCTTCCTTTCAAGATGTGATTCAACATAGTAAAAAAAGTAACACCTTTGGCACGTTTTCAGTTTGCAAGAACTGGTGTGTACGTAAAGTGCTCCAAACTGAACAAAAAAAAACTTGTTTCGCTTTAAAAATATGTAGAAATAAAAGTAGTTTTCAAAGAGCTCTTCGTATACGCTTTCTCATTTATAGGGCATTCTGTCACATATTATAGGCGCTATACGTATCATGGGAAGAAATAACTGAAAATAAATCTTCGTATACGCTTTCTCATTTATAGGGCATTCTGTCACATATTATAGGCGCTATACGTATCATGGGAAGAAATAACTGAAAATAAATCTTCGTATACGCTTTCTCATT